AGAAAGAAGTTTTCAACTAGCAATAAACTTTAAACAAGAAAGAAGTCACAGTCTGCATGAGATTTCGAAAACGCATTCTCATTTGCCTTTCTCACTCCGTAAAGAAGAATTTAATTGTACATTATTAGTTTTTGACAAATATCTCGAAAATAATTATGAAATCTGTGAAAGTTTGTTGGGAGTTTTCTGATACTCCATAACATATCCTACAGTGAGAGAAAAAGGATTTTATTTACGTAACAAAATGGTTTCGAATTTGGTTGTGAAATAGAAGATAATTTTTATGGCATTCAAATGAAATTATGTCGCATCCAATTTACTTTGGACACTACATCCAAATTCCATAACTTGAAGTGACATCCAGAGAAATTGATACTGCAACTTATCCATTTATTTTTTATATGGTTTTGTGTTTCAAATTAATACTCTTATAGTTTTTTTTTCAGTATTTCAATATTCTAATACGAGTCGCAAGAAAATCAAGACAGTAGTAATAGCATTGTTTTCCGTTATTATCCTGATTTTTTTGCGACATCTGTACACACTGTCCATGCTTTTATTTCTTCTGCATAATTTTATTTACATTACTCTACAGAATGCAAGACCTTTTAAGAAGATTATAACTTTCTAGGAAAAATAGCTCAACTATAGTGAACTAAAATCATATCTGATGAAATGTTACCTTTGCTGTCTGTACATTCACAGTCATACTCTTAATTGCCAACCATGAAGATTGATTTACAGTCTTACAATCTTCAGGATAGCAATGAGGTGATGGTCCCCATTGGTGTGATGGAATGCAGTCTACCTGTGTCTCTGTGTTAACTCGTGTTTTACACATGTTGAGAGTTAATGTTGATGAAAGTTGTTGAATAAATCAGAATAATAATAAAATTATGGTTCATAATATTTTTATGGTTGTTTAGATCCAGTTAGGTTCACGTGTTTTTAACTTATGCTTTTGTATTCAATTGCTTCATAGTTAGTGTAGACAATATTTATATTTATTATTTATTTTTTGTAAAAAAGATACCCCCCTAATACATTTTGTATTGATTGTAGATCAAATTATGACAGTTCGCTAAAAATGACTGGGCTTGTCACATTTTCCTTTTCAAAATCAGAAGAAAGAAGTGGCTTTGATCTTTACTTTGAAAGCTCTGGACACCATTTTCTTTATATTAAGTTTGCATGAATCATTCCCAGTCTGGAAATTTAATATTAGACCAACATGAAAAGCATTACAAGCTACATGGAAGTGTTGAATAAAACATGACAACACAAACTTTGTACCTAGTGTTTTCCCCATAAATATGTACCTTCATATTTATGCACAAAAGAAACCAAGAAGTGAATGGAATCAAAATCAAGGTGGAATGCAATTAAAAAACAGCATGCACGTAAAATTGATGATATCTGATTTTAGTGAATTAGAACATAAACTTGCATTGAAAGAGTCTTCAGTCACAATGTAACCATTTTAAAGAAATGAATTGTGTTCGGTTTTACATATGCAATATTGATCTTTGTGAATTTGTTGAATGTTGGATTCGTGTTATGTTTTAAGTTAAATAATTATTAATAAAGAAAATGAAAAAATAAATTTATTAATTTTACTGAAATATTTCATGAATATACATCTAGAAATCTATTTATGTATTTACAAAATACTATGGATCTAGTATCCAAAACTTTGTGTACTATGTACAAATATGAACTTTTGAGCCAATATCGCAAACGCAGACCATCTACAGAACTAATCATTTACTTTGGATACAGTCTCCATGCATTTGTACAAACCATCTAAAGTAGTATTCATTTTCTTGAGATCCAGTATTCAAAGCTTTATACAATGCATCAAACCATTATCTATTTTTCTGCCGACGCGGTAGCCAAATGCTTCTTATAATACGTCAAAATAACATTTACTTAGGATCCTGTACCCAATGTAATTGATTTATCACATGTCATATGTTCAATAAGATTTCAATGTTACATCTAAAATTTTAATAGAAAGTTTTACGTTTTAGAAATTAATATTTTTACATCACTAAAATGTAAGCGTTAAGCAACCATCTGAAATCAATAGTACACTTGGTTAGCTAACTTAAATGCTAAAATAAATACATTACTTTATTTGTTCATGAATTCTTACAAATTCAGCTACCATCCACACACAGGAGCAATAATATATTTTACAAATATCTTGACCTACGGAACACTTTTCTGAGAAATCATTGTATTACATTTCACACATTGTGAATTACAAGATAAATTATAATACTTTCCAAAAAATCGATAAAATCAAAATACTGAAATGAAAATTAGGTGCTTGTCATTGTGTTTGAGTAGCCTGTAAAATAAGATTAAGTAGAAACTACTGCATATGTACAATTTTCTTCTAGAATATTTTCCAAACACTTCTTTTCAATATGCAGTCTAGGTCTTATAACTAAGTAGTTTTGTTTGAACCCAACATGAAAATGATACAGACATGGGCTGCCAAAATATAAAATATAAATCCTCACTGCACAAGAAATTAGTATGAAGTCATGCTTTATAAAAATGTTTATTGAAATAATAATATGTTCAGATGTTTCTATTTTAGGTAGAATTCATTAGTACATGCCGAAAAATTCATGGAAAGATATCAGTTATTTATTTTAAAATTCAATTTGAAAATTGTTTTTTATTGGTTTTTGGAACAATTTCAATTTTTTATTTCTTTGGTTTTCATTTGTGTTAAATGAAGCATTAGAGAAAAATTTCTAATGTTGGCCAAAGCAGTTACTTACTTTGCAAGTGTCTGATGAGCTCTCAATTAAGTAATGTTCCATCTTATTTTGAAAACATTGAGCATTAAAACAGAAATAAAAAACTCAAACAAATATACAGAAAGTAATTTTCTACAAAATACTTACCATGATCTCAAAATAAATAAACTAACATTCTTCACTTTTCAAATGCTTTAAGATTTGTTGAGATATCAGTTGTGTGGCTTCCGCAGCGTTTGGTATAACAAATCTGAAAGATCAGGTTCATTTGATATGAGAAAATATTTATGAAAATAGAAAACGATTTATGATTTTTAAACATAACACAAAACAGGATAAAAATTAGTAATTAACATCTTGCAATTTTTCTTAAGAAAGAACAGTCTACACAGCTCATATGGGCCTATCCAACAAAGTTACATACAACTCCATTCTGTAATAATACATACATCACAGCTAATGTTCAAATCTGCCTAATTCACAAACTAGCTGGTTAATGTTCAGATTATCCAAAACGATTGAAAAAAGCCATACATAGGAACAGCAGCATACTTAGACTTTAAATGACAGACATAAGGTTGACATTAGTCTACCCAAAATAGTTCAAGTATGTTACAGTAAAGAGAAATAGCACAGAATATGAAGTGATAAGCAAGGTTCAGTCGACTGGTGAACAAGTTTTAAGACCTGTGAGAAACAAGGTGTAGTTTTGAGCTTATTACCATACAGCATTGATTGACATAAGAAGCACGTTTTTTTTGAAAGAGTTTATTAAATAGCGAACCATTCCTGTGACTGTTCTTTACAGGCTCATCTACAATAAGGACAAGCACTACCCCAAGTAAGTAATCTATTTTCCACACTCATTGTTCCTTCATTCAAAGAACATTTAAATCAAAGTAATCAAGTGGGATGCCATCAATCATTTACTTTTCTCAAATATATCCCTATCTGTAATTCTTATGAACTTTTACACATATAGATTCAAATACATTGGAAAAATATAATCAGAATCTTAATTACAAAATCTTCTAATAAATATTACTTTTGGTTTATTGATGAAAGTATAGTAAGTTTAAATGCTCTTTCCAGATCTGGACGAGATTCCAAACGTGAAGCTGGAAAGAGGTTCAAAAGATTACTGGTTTTCCTGAATCCATTGACAGCATTTCAAGCGAGCGACATTGTGCAGCGCCTAGTGTCTAGCGCAATGCTAACAATGGCAGCCAATGGTTGGATGCCACTGATCTGCTGGATTTAATTTATTTAATGTAAAATAAAGTTAAAAACTGCGTGACACACTAAGGGGATAAGTTATCTATGCATGGTTTCTTAAACTCTAGGATCTCTGTCCTGCGTTATCCTTTTTGCTGCTACGGACCCCTCCCAGTGCAGCGCTACACATTTTTTGAACTTTTTGATATTATTGGGAATTTAGAAATTCATTTTTCTGTGTTTCACTTCAAAAACATGGCTAGCATGACTAACTACATTACATTCCTCATAAAAAGAATCGTAGCTCATAATGAATATCAAGGTTCATTCCCCTTTCACAATCACACCACACTCAGAGTTTGATTCCAAACCGTCTTTGTTTTGGAGTGATATAATTTTAATATAATAACAATTTTGGCTGTCATCGATGCACAACTTCCCAAACAGGAAAAATGAGCTTGCAATGCTTCGGCCAATGGCATTTACATCCATTACGGAAAGGCAATGGAATTTAAAAAATGGCATAGATCTTTTTTCTCCTACATATTTGAATTTTTTAAATTTGCATGTTAGAAATAATGGGTTAGACCATTACATTTTTAAGCGTCAGCAAAAGAGAATTCAGCCGAGCGACTACACAGTGTAGAGATTAAGTGGATTAAGTGAATAGCCAGTTGAATGCTGAGTTCGAATCGAATCTCACCATACAGAAAACCTTTTTGCTGTTTGGAATCCCTTTTGTAGGTTCATGTCTGTCTGATTAAATTCAAAAAGTACTTAGACACATGTTGAGGACAAAAATAATTTTGTGGCTTACGTTCCTCTCAAAAACAAGTCACAAGCCACCTTAAAACGTATTCACAGGGCATACAAATTTAAATCAATCTACCTTTTGTGTTATCGCAGGTACTGAATGTTTGCTGTAGAGACTAAATTTTACAAAACACCTCTTTTTAGATCTGGTATCAAAAATACAAAATATATGATTACAGAAAAAATACTAAAACTTACTTGTCTAAATCTGACACAACTAGAGAATCTCCTTCTGGAACACCATACTTAAATGTTATAATTTCTGGATGTTTTTTCTTAGATGTTATCTTCACTATTGATGAAAGAGGTCGTCGCACTTTAATTTGAGCGAAGTCTCGACGTCCTGGGATGTTTCTCAGAACGTAGATGTGACTGTTGGTTACAAGTAAGTAGCTAGAAACCAGAAGAGATTGGGAGCATTATTAAACTATTTATTTAAATTTAATTTTTTTAATTTATGTAAATAAATGGGATGAACCCTTTACAAAAGAGATACATTCATAATGACAAAAATATACAAGTACAAAAATCATGATAACAAAAATTAAATATAGTTATAACCATTAAAAGATAAAACTTATGAGCAACTGTTTAATAATGTGGGACAAAGTAACTTTACTATTAAGGGCCATTTGGTTAAATAATTGAATTTTTTGTTGTTGCTTTTAGTATCTTGGAACTTCCGTGATACATTACTAGATACATTTTTCATCCATTAAGCCCCTTTTGTTTTTCTGAGCACTTTTGTACTATGATGTTTCCTGGGACACATCCTATTTTTATCAAATATCCACCAAAGGTTTCCCAGTGCACTAGCTGATTCCCAAAACTGAATTGTCATGGTGCAAATATAATCAGTCAATAGTTATTAAAAATAAATCTTCCATCTTGCATTGCCAATGGCACTAGTCAATTTATAAAGCTTGTTTTCTGAGCTCTGATTAACTTTATTTAAAAAAAGTTTCATTGCCACGATCAAGAGTCATTCAATAATGTTGGATGAAATAGATTTATAAAAACTCTATATTGACTGCATTGAGTACGTGTGTGTATATTTTTCTGCGGTAATTCCTGGGAGCGTGAGAGAAAGCGTGAGCGAGAGAGAGTGTGTGTGTGTGTGTGAGAGAGAGTGCGTGTGGGTGAAAGAGTGAGTGTGCATGAGAGAGTGAGTTTGCGTGAGAGAGTATGTGTGCGTGAACGTGAGAGAGTGGATCACATAGGAATACATACACGCGAAAAAGCATTCAAGCACAGTGGAATATTTCGCTTGTGAAATAAATTGTCCCCAAGATACATGTACCAGATGTAGACAAGGATGGAAAATGTTCCATTCAATAATAATTACAACCTTGAAAATCTAAGGAACCCCAAAATAAAATAGAACTTCTGTAGATGCTTACCTGGGCAACAAATAATTAATACATTAACTGTATAGAATGTAATATATTACTATAATATACATACCTTTCAAACATATGTCCATTTACTTTTACTTCATGGCATTTGAATGATTCTATTACATCTGGCTTTTTCAGCCAAACTGAAAGGGAAACAACATCTTCATTGTCTTCTCTTTCTGGACTAGGTTGCCCTGAGGTATCTGTAGAAAAAACAATTTAAGATTAATGTAAGACATGCATAAATGTGTATTTCCAACAATGAGCTCAATAAGGTTATCACAAATATATTGGAGTGTTAAATTTCGTATAATTACAAGAAGACTTTATACACTAATATTAATCCACTCAACAAACATAATATTTGGACTCACAAAAACTATCCTAGTTTCTGTACGTGAAGAAAACAGCTGCACTTCAAATAAATAAATCAACTAACAGGAAACTTGGTGGATGCAAAGGAATGGTGGGTAGTGCAAATAATTAGTTTTTTTGATGATCAGCTTCACAGCTAGCTGCCATTATTCATTTTTTTAAGATCATTTTTATTTCTGCTGAAAAATCACCAATTTCTCCCACACAATTACAATATTTTCTCTTTACTACGTATGTAGTGTAGTAGAACATAAAAATTAAATGCTACCACAATGCAATTTAAGTATTCTCTAAATAAAGAAATAGGATTCACTCAACACCTCTGGCAAAGGCCAAACTTGGAACACCAACATTTCTTGTAGTAATATCACTTAACACTGAGCCAGTATCTTCTGAAAGAAGTTGAAAAACTTTCAAAATTTACTGAGGCATTTGCCACTCTGCCATCATGATTTCTATAACAAGTCCTGCCTGTTCACATATTTTGTAAATAAATAGTTACTCCATCTTTTTACCCCATCCAAACAAAAAAGACAAGGACAAGAAGAAAGAATCAAAAACCAAGTAGGAATGGTACAGTACAACAAGCACAGTATAATAAGCGTGGTAAATAACAACTGCTAGAGGTGATTTGGTTCCTGAATACAGTAGCAATTATAAGCATATTTAGAGTATGAAGATGAATAACGCAATAGAGGAGATTCAAAAAAAAAAAATTTTATTTGTTATCATCAATTTTCTTTAATAATAAAGAAAGTCTTAGTATGTCATAAGCTTAAATTGTATTGAGCTTCAGGAAACATTTAACAGAATTTGTTGAAAAAAGTGTATGATAATATATCTTATTAATAAAATATCTGCTTTATAAAAGCAAATTGTATTTTCTTTACCTATACATCCTCATCTTCCTTTTGATGCATTAATTTGATCAAAATTTAATTCAATCATCACTGCACAGAATGATTGTAGAATATCAGTTAGTCGCTTAGACTTCTTTACCCTCACACTGTATGGTACAAAGAAGTCTATTAATCTTAAAATATTTACATATTTTTAAATCAGAAAGTAATTGCAAAATTAAAAGATAATCTAACTAGTGGGGCTACAGAATAACACAGACTTCCTCATAGTCCATAGTTTCCTAATCTGTTTAGTCTGAGCCAGCTTTTTGGTTTTCCCCTCACCCTCTTCCCAGCTGCTACCTATCAGCACCTACAACACATTTTCCTTCCCCACAATTTGTTAATTTTTCACTGCCCTAATAGTTGAATTGAAATACAACTTCAAGAATATGACACAAGAGTGAAAGCTGTTTTCATAAGCAAATTATCATTGAAAAATTTATAAGAAAAAAAGTAGTTTCCGAGTCACTGAAAATGCGCAATTTGAGATCATTTTTACAAAAAATGTTTTAAGTTTTTGGGAAACTTCATAAAAAAATGATTTGAGGCACTTGTACTCACTAATGTAACAATGCATTAGAAACACCTGTACTGTAAATATTAATGACATTAGGGACATATCAAAAAATTACAACCGAGTAAGAATTACATCTGAAAAAACACAAGAATTCTGCAAAATGGTGTTTATACCATCTTCAACAGTGCATTGAGCACCATCCTTATAGCAAATTTACATAAAATATTTGGAGCCATTTTTTAGAAAATCACATTTTTAATATATTTTAATATTCAATATTGTTGTTGTAGGAAGACGCCAAATTTCAAAGTTCTCGAAGCAGAATATCAGGTCTTTACAAACACTGTTTGGCAGTATCATTGAAGAGGCACTCTATGCGATTGCTATAATAGGCACCAGTGGCTATGCAAATGTTAGCATTGGGCATACTACTTAATTAGAGGATGAATAGAAGTTGATCCACTGGCTAGACTGCTGTAGTCCACCACAATAAATAAGCGCTCTGTACAACCTTAGAAGGCATAGTCAATCTGCTCCCCATGAGATTGCATTGAGGAAGTTTAACAGAGAAATGCAATTTGTTTGCAAATGTGATTTTGTCACTTTATTAGGCATTAAATGTAAGCCCAAGGATCTTGGTGGCATTAACAAACGACAGCTAGAGGTCCCCAAAGACCAGGTCGACGTCCCTGTAGTGACAGTATACTCTACAAAAATGCAAGCATAATTTTAACAATTTGAAGCCAGGTGACTTGCTCCATTCAAGTAATCTGTTGAGGGCAAGTTGGAGCTGCCTTTGAATTAAGTTAGTGCTGCTGGAGGAACAGAAGATAGCAAAGTCATCACTGGCGACCGTGTCTTCTCTACATCTCCCTCCAGAACGACTCCTATTTCGAGGAGTCTTTGGGAAAGAATTAGAAGGTATTTTGCACAAAGCACACATCCTAGATCACTGTCAACTAGCATAGCTTACACTAGGAACATTGCTATCATTGGGCAAGCTAATACCATGTAACTAAACAGCAATTTAACGTGCATAAGATGGGTTTCCTTTGAGAATGCTTTTTATGATCCACGTTCTTAAGAAATAGAAAGTTTCTTTCAAATTTCCAATGACCCACACTTAAATGAAATCATATACCTAAAAACTTTTTAAGAAACTCTTAGCACTGACAAGAAGGATTGTCTTGGGTCTTCAGAGTCTTTGCTTATTTAACACAAATTAGAAACTGATCAAATTCATATAAATAAAAAATATTTTCTTTGATGTCCCTACAACCTTAAATACTTTAAAATCATGATTCAGGGTGAGAACACTTACCTGGATCTTGTTCATCATCAATGCTGAAAACCGGCGCAATATTGCGATAGCGTTTATCCAATTTATCTGAACAACTGACGTGGCGATCTACAGCACTACCTCCTGCTGGATTCACAATGTATTCATACAGTTTTCCTTTCATTTCTGCTGATTTTGATTTCATTGCAGCACTGTAAATTACATGAAATGTTTAATTACAATTTTCATTCTTTATTCACATATCTTAAGCCGGTGATTCCCAAACATCCATAGAGGATGTTTACCAATAGAATAGACAGAGTATACATACCAATAGAATAACATCTAAAATTGTGGAAACATGTTGGAAACAATAATAGTATGTTATAATTTACCCAGAAGAAAAAATGAGGAAAGGAAATTCAAAATATCCAAGCTGATAAAACCAAATTAGGCTCTGAAAAACAAAATTTGCAAGATTTTTCTCTGAGAAGATGACAGCACAAAATGTATGCATGTCAGAGCAATGAAGTAATGAGGATGGAATCACAGGCTTAAGAATTGAAATCTCGATATTGGGAATACCATTTATGTCCTAAGTTACCTACCTAATTTTTCCAAGAAAATATGAACTACTATTTGTCTGGATGGACTCAACAGAAGTAGTATCCGTTTGTTCAGGAATGCAAGCAAGGCAATTTTTTGTTTTATGATCTTCTAAGTGCAAACTTACTTCTTCCCCAAAATATTCATGAATTGCTGTAAAAAAATTCCTTCTATAACAATGCAGAATAATTTTTATGCGCAACAGTTTCATCATATAATATTTTAAAGAAACAAACAATGTACATTTTCAATTTCTAACAATAAAATCAAAGCTGGATCTACAATTCCTAGAAAAAATGCCACATCTATAAAGAATAATTAAACACAAACAATGTTCATATATAGCGCCTTATTAATTAATAGTGTAGAATTACACATGGAGCATCAGTGTAAATAAGTTGCCTGAATTAACTTAATTATTTAGGACTTAATCCATCCACTCATCCACACATATCATTAATTCCATATATTGCGCTTGTAATTCAAAACATGTTAGTCATAAGCAATTGTTGGCTAATGTTCAATCTAACTTGAATTGCATTCAATAACACAGCGATACTGGAGGGACCTTCAACATTAATTTTCAACCTGTAGTATATAATGTAATTAAGGAACAGTCATTAATGACCTAAAATTACATAATACAGCACAGAAACTAAAATGCCAATCTATAATAACATCTATTGAAAAATTTAAAACATGAGATGATAATTCATTGGCAAACTTAGACAACTGAAAATTAGCGATATCTACAACAGCACATACTTTCTTGCATTAGAGCCTAATTATAACTTTTGAAATTTTCAAAAATTCAGAGAGTATAAACAGAGACCTACAGGATTTTTAAGCATTCTTTGCTCTATCCAAAGAAAAATCTAAAATAAATAATTAGGAGCCACTTTTGAGATAAACTTTATAAATTTCCTTCTCTACAAGCAAAAATTACTTACTCCACTTAATAATCTCTATCATCAAAATAGCACTTTTGTGTACTGTTCACCACGTGGCATCTCTGCGTACGTGCCTCTCACATGCACTCCTGTGTCACTATTCAGTGGCCAGAATTGGGAAGGAATTAGGACATAGGTAGTATGCTTCACAGGGGTTGAACAAGCCCCTGAGAAGCCGGTGAACCTGTTTTGTTGGATCAAATTTCACCTGAGATTGTCCCTCCTTTAAAATTTCACAAAAGATTCACCTCCTTGGTGAAAGGTGTGTGCACCTGCACAGCCATGATTTTTCTAGAACTTCAGAATATTCTCTCTCTATTACGTTTTAAATCATTTCTAGACAGTACTCTTTTCAAAATGTGTGTTGAAAATAACTATTTTGAGACTTTTACTTTCTTGCCCTACTTCAGAGAAAGAATTGTAACAATGCGTCCGAAAACAGCGAATTTTTAACAGAAAAACTCTTAACCCTAGTAACGAAGGAGTGGGATAAATGTTGTTTCTAAATATAGTAAACTACTTCTTCTAACACCCTCTGTAGTCATAATCCATGATTTGTGGTCCTGGATACTAAAAAATTGATTGACAGCAAAACGTGTCTGATCAACAGTGATTAACACTAGTGTCTAAACTGTTCAGACAATTTTTTCTAAAATAGATATTCCGCAAACAATTTAAAGGAACTTGAGGCCCTCTGAGTTTGAATATTTTGATTTCTTCTTAGCTTGAAACCTCGAACATATTTTCAAAATGTTCTCTAAAATGGCTCCAAAATGTTGTTTTTTTATTAAACTTTGTCATGGGATAGCATACAGGACAAACAAAAGAATGTCGCAGATCTGATTTTCAAGGAGATTCACGATATTTTGAAAAATTCTGAAAGTTCTTTTTTTTTTTATGTCTTCCTTCATCTTCTTCCAATAGTCCAGATAGAAATTTTTTCTTTAAGAAAATCTGTTTTGCAAATGCATACATAGAAATAAGGTCATGTACAATTTTTTGAAAATATGAAATAGGAAAAAAATTAGAAAGAAAAAAAGGGACTTTTTTGTCACCACTTATTTTTTGGGCGACTTTGCTGCAAAATGCCCCTTGTATGTTAATAAATGTTACATTAATATTAATTAGTGTCCCAGAGCAAGTAAATGAGTACATGTCATGTTTGTTTCATTCATTTAGCAATAACAAAAAAGGAAATATTGAATCCCAAATTTGTAAAACTTTACAACAATATTGCACGAAGTCAAACACACAGCTATATTTTAAAAACTATCTCACCTACGCAGCTTCAACTACACAAAAGTTCCTTAGAGACACATGGGACTCAGCATACAAAATATTGTAAAAATTGGAGATGGTCACATGGGGAGCACAAGACCACTTGTCTTTGAGTGAACCAAAGAAATATGAAATGATTTATAGTTGATTTTGTTTGATATGATAAGATTATGAATTACGATTGATACCCAATAAATTAATAACTATTATCAGGCAAACATTGAAAATCCAAATGAAATCTTCATTAAGGGTGTTCTTTGTACAAATTAATGACTACTCACAGAACATTAATAAAATAATTTGATATTTTATATTTTATTTACAGAGACTTTTTTTTAAAAAATATCCATAACATATCCATTTATTTTTACAATGCACATACAGATAACATAAAACAATTAAAATCAATATAATTTGGTTAAGTAATGCAAGCAAGTATGTGCGCATGAGGGAACAGGGCTACAAAGAGGAAGGATAGAATCCATGCAGTTTGTTGATGCGTGGGATACCAAGCCAATTGGCACCAGTTGATAGTTAAAACGTTTTTTTGCAACTGGTTTAGATTTGACAAGTTTAACTGCCTCAATAAAAGTTATATTTATTACACTAACTTATGTTATTTATTGCATTTGTGAATGTATGACTGTTGAACTTCTATAGTTAAAAGTCACCTAGTTGAGAAGTGTCAACCAAACAAACTTGTGGGGTTGGTTGGCATAGGCTCAGGGGTACGTTGGCACTAACACAGTGTAGATTGGCACATTACTTCTGAGAGTGTGTGGAGTAATAAATCAATGGCAAAATCGATCATTTTTCATTGTTTTATTTAAACACATTAATGAAAATAAGTTGATCACCATTTAGTCTTGCAAATCAGCCACCCATGGCAACTAATGGAGTCTTAGTACTTTCAAAATTAAGTATTTATCAGTCTTTTACCTCTTTTAAATAAAAAGTGCTGCTTGTCTTCTTCAAAACATTGAGTAGGTAACCTCATTTAACTGTTTCAAGTTTCATGCTAAAGAGAACTTAAACTTGTGATAGACGAGCACGGCAAAGTAGCAGGTTTAAGCTACAAAGAAAGAAAAACAAATCTTAAAAAAATAAATGTATGATAATTTAAAAAAAACTAAACATCCCCAGCTGATAACAAAAAGTTAGAGCCCTTTTGTATTCGCTACGTGCAAGTCCTCCTTTACATAACAGGAATGGCAGGAGGGGAACCTTCCCTCACCTCACAGATGGGCGCATGGGGTTGCAGCAAGTATACGCAACATTAGCTGACTTCGTGCCGCATGCTTGTTTTATCTCACTAGCGATGTGAGAAACAACACAGAGAGTCCACTGCGTTGACATGCAGCATGACACCAGTAGTGGCCACTGTGTCAATAGTGATCCCTTCAAGAATGACATTTGAAAAATAAGAATTGAAAGCTTCTCGTAGGCTTCAAACTAGCAGATCATGAGGATTAGAAGATAATTTATTTTCTCCCTTATTTTATACTTAAAGAATAAGCTGAAAATATCTTTTTAATATTGGCACTGCAAAGTCACGTAAATCTTGTTTTTTTTTATCTCAACAACGTTCAGAGGGTAGAATTTGACATTATTGATGTTCTATAATGTTCTCTGACCTCTACAGATGCTTTTATGCTAGGTGTTAATAAAAATATCAGAAAATAATTTTATTTTGTGCAGAGGGTTGGCAGACAGAGGATGGAGCAGTCTGACACTGTGTCAATCAATCCCAATTAAAAAGTACCAACCAGCCCCAAATGGCAATTTACAATTGAAGATTGCCTCAGATGTGACCAGGGAACTCGAAGTTATACTGATACAATCAAGAGCTTGGTTGAAGGTTTCAGATAAAAAAGAGAAACAAAATCTTTCCTTTTCACTGTTACAGAAGACAATGAGCTACAAAATCATTATTTTCAAAGCTCTAATTATATTTGACATCCCTGTCATTGTTGCATTGATCATACCGAGGTCTTCTTTGGGAAGTTCATTAGGAAGTTCACATGAAAGGCACGATGGCCTCATGGAAGCTACGTAGCGGACCTGGGAACCTGAGTGCCAACCAGGCCCGGTCTCCCCTATTCCTTCGGCACATGCCTCATATTGATCGGACAAACCATGGAAAACTACCAAGCGGCTGACTGCTCCTATATCACACATTTTTATTGTCAGCACAAACAGGAAACTACACCTTCTGTTCCACTGTTTGAAATCAAAGTGCCACTTTCTAAAAGCAACGTGAGAGACAACAGCAGTCCAACATACCTTGATAACCTCCTTTTAACATGCTGACGAAGTGGGTGTGTTTCTGTAGAAACGACGCAATGACCATATGCGTGTATTGATCTTCCTCCATGCGCCCAGAGCCCAAAAAGCATAGGTGTTCACCGCTGGCAGCTGAACGCGCAGCGAGCGACTGGCGCTGTGCCGACAGTAGCCCTTGGACAGCGGTCGTGAACGCTGACGGCTCCTGGAGCATCTGGGAAACACCGACACTTCAGATATACAAACTGCACATGCAAGAATAATTCAACTGCAGGACACCCACTTGGAAGAAGACCCTAACTGGCACGGACACAGACATTGGAGAAGAGAGTTTACCCCCCACAAAGCGCTCTCACTTTTGTTGCTCGAAGATTTTTTATGGAATTTCCAATGCACATTCACTGTTACGTTGCTGCTTAGTATGTTTATAATTTATAACTAGAGCCTGAAAATTCAGGTATTTATTTTACCTAAAATAGGCAGTCAAAAAGGCATTTGTGTTTACTAAAATAGGCATGCAAAAAAGGCATTTATTGTGGCTAAAGTAGGGGGCAAGACACAGGACACACTAAAAAAAAAAAATCACAGTTTAAAAGTAATTAGTGTAAAAAATTAATAATTAAATGAATCACATTTTCATTTTAACTCCAAAATTTACATTAGTACTAACATGGAAGGAAACTACCTTTTCTTTGTAATTTTGATCACACTTGACCATCCGATTGAAGACTACGAATTTACTATACTCACGACCCTATCTGTACAGAATGTTACTATGGACTCCTTTTTGAATCTTGAAATGGTAGCAGTGAAAATGGAATTATAGATTTTATTCTTCCTACTTGTAATCATCAGAAGGAAAGAGAGAACAAGAAGGAACTGAGAAGGGTATAACCATGTACAGACAGCTCTGTCCTCAAAAGGGATCTGAGGCCATAACAAACATAGAATGAGATATCTCGTGAATGAACAAGTCTAAAAGCATCAATGAAAAATATTAACCCGACAGAACATGCACCTCTTTCTATAGCATCAGTGCATGCACCTGGTCTTGCTGACCCTTCTGATTACAGTTCCCTAAATTGAAATTTACCTAATAATTTCGATCAAGGGAATGTACTAGGATAAAGATGCATATTATTTTCAATAATGAGATATATTTTTAAAGAATTGATTTCAGTATTTAGTGATTTGTATGTAAATGAAGAAAATTGAAAAAATAGTATATGCTGAAATTTTCCATTGCATTTACATATTTGACAACGTTCCTTCATTGCATGCATTACAAATTCTTAGTTAGTGCTCCAAATAAATAAACTTTTTGCATATTTGGGACCAATAATTTTTTAAGCCACGTAACGTACTGAATGAAGATCGTTGCACAATTGCACGTCTCTGAGGCCCGCGCAACGTTTTGGATTGTTTCACCGCTAGATAGGATAAAAATTCTCACTTTCTCAGAAGAGGTGCGACTTACATCAGTTGAAGGTAAAGGTACCTGGAGGCAATGGTCAGGGGCAGACACACTGTGATCACAATTTTAATGTAAAAACTTCCCAGGTCTCGCAGACCATCTGCATGCACTGCCGGGTTAAAAATCGTCATTGGTATAATCTTCCTTTACTTTTTAAATTTTTAACAACCTGACACTGGACCTCTGCATTCACAGAAAGACAATTCATGACTGTGCCTTCATGTTGGCCAGGATAGCAAGTATGTTTGCAACTACCAGAATAGAGATTTGTGCCAGGAGGGGGAAAAGGAAAAATAGTAACAAAAAAGACAGAAAAGACCACAAATAAGGAATAAAAAAATCACAAATAAGGCAAAATGCCAAAAATAGGCATTAGAAGGTTAAATAGGCAAAAAAAGGCAAAATGAAAACCCACTAGAACAACTCAGGAAGTACAATTATGTGATTCCTGTTGTTGAAAGTCTTAGAATCATAACAATTATAAAAATGCATTTTGCCAAATTTACAAGCTCTATACATTACTGCATTTTAAGTAGATAAAACACTCCATACTAATACTCAAGTGTGGGACAAGAGATGTGTTCCTCACACAAGTTACACTGCCAATTTGAACTTCGTGCCAGAAAGTAATATTTAAACACAATTTTGCGTTTGACAGTGTTTTCTTCTTCTTTTTATTTCTCTCTTTCGGAAAAACTGGTGTTGCTTTATTAAAATTCATCGTTGAATCTGGGGTACCTTTTGTACAGGTAGCTCACCGACACCTGTATAAATGTGTATATATTCTAGCCCAGTCAAATTAGAGCAAAAACTGATGATCGAAGGAAAAAAATTGCGAAGTTTTTGAACTTGGAATGAATGATTGTTTGTTGGTACTTGCCGCACATTATACTAAAAATGCTGAAGTGCGGGGGTGAGCCAGGGGTGGGAGCCTGTTTAATGGTTCTTTTCTTCATTTATGCATGTATCTCCATAATTATCAATCCTTCCAAAACTTATTTTCTATACAAAATTAAAGGAGACAAAAATTCGCATAAAATTTCCTACATGGTTATGTTGTAAAATTAAGCTTTTAAAGTTGTAGGCTCGTAAACTTCTTGTTTTTATTTACAAGGCCGTTTTTTGTAGATATTTCCCTTACAAAAATAATGTTAGGTATGATATGTTCAATGCACGGAAGTAGTTTTGTTTTTGTTGAATATTTATCAACATGCATTTGAATATTTTGCCCAAAAATCATTAACATTTTACATCTTATCAAGTCTTATTGGGTCCTAGATTACCTTAGGTACAAAACCTCATAATCCACAATTTACTTGATAAAGTTAGAGTACAAATATTTGATAAAGGATCGTGTACACTGTCAACAAAATTCGTAAATTGAATGATCACATTAACTGCGTACATAGAGGGATAACTAATACAGACAATGAGAGTGTCGATGACACAGCACACACTCAATGTTTGACATGGGAATTCAGTGATTACAGAATAGGGGAAACCTTCATTATTCCTATTTTTCAAATGTTTTGGGCATGAAATGAGTAGTAGTAAAAATGTATTCCGAAGTTGTTGAATTTCGGCCAAAAGCAGTGTCGAACATGCCTTACAGGAAAAAATTGCCTTCAGCCCTCTCTAGAAACAAATGTTATCTTATGATAAATAAGTACTCTGAAACTTAGTTTTGGTAAAAAAAAAAAATAATAATAATAATAACAACAACAACAACAACAACAACAATAATAATAATAATAATAATAATAACTATAATATTATTAAAAAAAACCTTCAATATTGATTCAGTTGTCTTCAAAATAATTCCCTTGAGATTCTCAGGGCGAATGTCCTGTGTTCAGCGAATACAGTGGCTGAGGCATCATAATGATGATGTCTATGGCTAAAAAGCGACAAACAGTGAGGTGTGAGCAGTGTGCTCAGGTGCACTATCATGATGCAACTGTCATGAATTGTTTTGTCACAAATACGAGTGTTTTCTCTGGAGTGCTTCACGCAAACAGTGTGAAGTAGTACATCCTATTGGCTCTATAACTAGTGGCAAGTAGAAATGATGCTCTACGCTGTTAAAATCCATAGAAACAGTGAGCGGAACCTTCAAATTTGATATGTTCTTTTGATATTTGATCTTCAGGAAGCTTCCATTTGGAAGATTGTGTCATTGTTTTGGCATCATATACGTACACCAATGTTTCTTCACCAGTTATGACCCATTTGAGCAATTCTGAATTGTTGTTGACTTCATTTAGCATCTCCTCATCAATTTTCATTTGACACTGCTTTTGGTCGAAATTCAACAATTTCAAGCTACTAGAATTAAAAGCAATCAAAAACATTTTCTCCTGGCCTATGGTATGGGATTTTCCCTGAAAATGTTTTAAACTTTCGAAAATGGATTCACTTATACTGAGTTCGAGTTTACAAAAGTGAATTTCATACAATGCAATTACTAAAGCACCAAGTTTCACATAATGAAAAGAGAACTCACACTTGTCCTTCAAGAATTGAACTCCAACCAGTCAAAAGTCCATTTCTGACTCTTTGGTTACTTGTTTCAAGAAGTAGACTTTATCAAGCCGGACACTTGTGAACTCATGAACAAAGGCACTGAACCAAAGTGTCATCAAATTTAAAGTTTACTTACAGGTAAATTTATTTAAATATATTCTTATTTCTAGTGTAAATATTGAGGATGCGCAATAAAATCAAAAGAGAGTAAATATTTTGTGTGTAAATAATTAATAAATTTGCTATTTTTGTACTTAATGTTTTATTCTATTAAGATAAATGTGTACTTAATTAAAAAACGCATCAAAATATTTGAAGTTCAAAATAAATACAAAAGTATTAATAGAGGTTACTTACAAGATTGCAATCAAGATGAAACGCTGTTGGTAAATGGCCAGCATTATATTGTTCTGCTGGTCGGCAATCAACCAGAAAAAAACGCAAGCTTTCGAGACGCTCTGGATTTAATGCTGAATCAATATTGTCAACCAATTCCTGAACATCCACTGGAAGGCAAAGAGCTTGAGATAGATTTTCTGCAGAATGTAATATATCTCCAGTACCAAATATTTCATCTTCCAGTTCCTATAAAAACACAAAATGTTATATCAATAAACAGACTTATATTATCGTAAAATTTCGATATTGGCATAACCACATGAGCTGAATTGCAAAAAAGACTAACAAGGCTACATTTACACTGGGTAAAACCTCTAACATAACAAGAAGCAATGTATTCACCTCACTATTTAGAACCTACACTCTCCCTATAGTTGAATTTGGCATCGCGATTTATAATCCTTACTTCCTCAAAGACAAATCTGTTAGTAAATTGGAGAGCTACACGTATTCCATAAAGACGTCAAGAATATAGATTATAATCAATGACTGATGAGACTCGGGCTTTAGACTATTGCTGCAAGGAGACAACGTGGCAACATGTTTGAAACATTCAAGATCTTGCACAGGTATTACAACTCCAATCTTAGTAGCATTTTTCAGTGCTCCGATAATCTACAATTATGAGGTCATAGTATGAAGCTTGTAAAATCTACACATAATCTAATACAGTACAAGAACTTCATAGGTAACCGAGTTGTCAATACCTGGAACATACTACCCACGAACGCGGTGATGGCACCTAGTATTCAGATATTCAAAGGAGCTTATGGCAATCTCTTCACTGAGAAAAGCCATGGACTTCTTTGATATGTGGACTCTGTTCCTCCTTTTCAAGAATTGTGTCAATTGTTGTGATATGAGATATTTACCAATTTAAATTTAAATGTGATATGAAACATTGTGATGTGTTAAAAATAATTAATTATATTAGTACCAATTCGGGTCACATCAGATTGCACTGTTGCCTGTATGTTACCTTAAATAAATAAATAATTACAAGAAGACATGAAAATGATCATCTGAGTCTGTTAACACATGAGATATGTATGAAATATATACGGTCTCAGGATTTAATTCTTGATTACATTAAATGTAACTGTCTCATTTCAAAACAAACCACAGCTTTAGTAGTTCATGTCAGTGATGATGGTGATCATTGAAAAAATGGAGAAACCTATGTTTTGTACCTTGTTGTATATATACAGAAGCATTAAAATGAAATATTAACATATTTACCAACTTCTAGTCTTTAGCTATTAGGATGCTTTTAACCAAGTTCCGTGAAGTCATGCATGTTAAGCAACACACAATGGGTCCCTGGATGGGTAACAACCTGGGAACCCCAGATACTAAAGGTTCTTAGCGCCTGGACGATACAGAGGCAATGACTGACAACTTGACGTATGACCGACTAATGTTCAAGGAAGATAACACACTCCACATTCAAAGCCAAAAAGGCTTGGAAAGTCACTATGCAAGGGAAATGCCTATTTTATTCTTAATGAACATATTAAGGGCTTTTGGTATACATACACGAATTATGGCAAATGCTTTTGATAAAGTTTTCCCTTCCTAGGTCTTTTACCCAGCCAACATGACAGTTACCCTTTACGTCCCAATGGGGCACATATTCAACCATACGCTAGATATCAACACACTTGAGGGAACCTCTGATCTGGGGTCAGCAGTACGCGAAGCCCTCTGCAACAATGCACATGAGAAGGGACAAACACAAGGCAGGACTCGAACCCACGACCCTTCAGACCGATGCGCACAATAGGTACACAATCTCAGCCACCTTAGCCAACCAGGTGAAGATAAAGTTTTATTTTGTCATTTTGGCTTATCTGGAAGTAAATGCCTTTTTAGACATTTAGATACCCTTTTCTTACTATTTATTTATATACATATGCTTCTATTCTTGGTTAAACATTAACAATTAAAGACTTTGTTAGTTTTACTAATTCCAATACTTGTCTACCAGAAACAAAACTATTTTCTTGGGTAAACTGAAGATGTGATTTAGGGTTTACAAATAACATTCTTTATTTTTGTAACCCCAAAATTCGCTTTCCTCATACTCCATTCCAAAAACATACAAGAGGTGCTACAACACCACATACTTTCTCACATTTGTAACTGCTACTTCCTGAACTTGCAAAAGTGTTTACAACTAGCAATTTTTTTCCCCACACCGAGACGAACTCTGGTTCCGAGTTAACTTGCCGTGCGCCTTACCTCTACTTCAAGCCAGCTGTCTGACGCACCCACTCGTACCGACACTTAAAAAGTAAAAATTCTCACAACATAAAATTTCTAACACATAATCTTTAAAAAACGAAAGAAAATAGTTTTTTTCTTTCTAATTTTTCCCTTCTTTTCGTCAATTGTAAGGGTCAAAATCGGACACAAACGCCAGGAAAAATTCTCAAAACATCTTTATCACCAAAGAAAATCGCAAGAATAATTAACGTCAATATTCATAGGCATAATATGGTAAATAAATTAACTTATATAGGAAGCTAATAAAAAACGTTTTCTTTTCATTTGTATGAATGAAGTGCTCCAAGTAAATTGATTTAAATACAGCAAAAAACTTGTTTCTTTTACTCTTCAATTAAGATTTTCAACACAAAAAATGTTTATCCCCTGGGGGCAGTTTTCCCTAGCTTATTTGGCTACTCCCTTTAGCATTCTTATATTTAGACATACTCGTCTGAAAGATGAGGGTGTCTTGAGGGCGTAGTATTTGGCAAGGGAACAAAAGTCCGGTACATCAGCTGCTTCTAGTGCACATGGCATTGATGACAAGGTCTCCACTATTTGTTGTTCATTTTCATTTTTGAGTTCCAGAATTTGATCTCTGAAATGAAAATTAAGATCATTATTACAAAAGCTAAGGAAAAACACAAAATTCTTCATATCAAAAACGTTCTACTAACCTTCCGTTTACCACCATGACTAAAGAAAGAAAGAAAACCAAGAAAGGATCTCCTTGTTGAAAATAAATATCCCACATACACAGAACAACCGGTAGAGTGCATGTAGCTGCAAACAGGGACTGAAACTACAAAACAGACACATGTATACAAAGCTACACAAGTACATCTTGAAGATTCAGAATTTAATCTAGGAAATAACAATTACATTTCATAATTTATTATTTGTAAACATATGATTCGTATGTAATTAAATACGAGTATTTTATATTTTTATTATTAATTTAGAGGCAACTGAAAACTGATTACATCGGAATATACATGAATACATAGGAATTAATACATAATTATATAGTGTTGTCAATGTATTGGTCATCGAAAAAAACTTGAAGCATTGTCCGGTAAACCGAGGCGGGGCTCTCCGAAGAACCACTTCGAACCACTCTGCGAAGAGCCACTCCGCTCCCCTGCTAAAATGTGGACGGTCCACAGATTCCAACTCTCACTTATCACGTCGGGGACATACTTTAACATTTTCCCACGCAAATCGAGCGGAACTGCCGGGGTTTTCTCAACAGATATATTACTTCCCCAGAATGGGTTTCTAGCGTACTTCTGATCTTTCAAGTATTCCCAATTACAAAACGTCACAAAGCTTCATCACGTGATCTGATAACATACTATTTTTTTCGATCCCTCTAGTCAGCGCTGAAATTTTGCGGATCAAACGGTAGTATTTGCTTCATCATATGAAATAATTTTAGTCATTATTCTGAGGTAAATTACTAAATCGAACAAGTCATAAAACCTACTGTGGTGTAAATACAATTTCATCACGCCCGCAAAGTTGGAATGTGCTTGGGACACAGGGTTATCGGGATCACCACTTGTCGAATGGCACGCCGGCCGCAGAAGTACGGGCGCCAGTCGCAGTCCTCCGCCAGCGTGAGCTCACCTCGCCGAGGCGACGCTTCGTATTCATTGGCGGAAGATGAATTGCCCCACGTAGATTAATGTAAAGGCACTCGTAAAAATTAGTTTAAATTAGAATAACGCATTATAAATTAGTATAATAGTATTCTAATATTGTAATGCAACCGACCACGCGTGAGGAATTCCTGCGGATACAAAACTATTTTAAGTGACACTAGTGGACCAGAGAATGCTTCGCTATTGCAATGTATTACAGTTCACACGTTACTGGTCACGTGATTGTTGATACGTTTTACGCTACGCCCTGCAAAAATGTTAATAAATGAAAGACTTCCTCGCGAGTATTGGTTTGTTTTATGTCCTGGTTTGGACATGTCTGCATAGTTAAAACGTTCTCTCTTACGTTTGAGCATGCGTTCCTCATGACACTGTCTTGGAGAAATTTGATTTACTTGCACGGGATAACGTTCTAGTAAGTAATTCCGGCTGATACTTCACAATCGCAGGGGCAGAATATGCAGCGAAGACGCGCTTAATACCCGAAGGTGCGGCGGGATGCGTACAGCTTCTGTTCAGGGGCGCTTGAGGCAGCATAAACGCATAAAATCATCAACGAGCGTCTATGTGCGACCGACATACGCACGTTCCTATTATACTATGCCTATATTCTTCGCGCAATAAGTTGAAAACGTTTTATCACAATGGGATGAACAGTATGGCGCATAAAATACGAACAAACATTGATTTTTACTTCCTGGCTACGGAAACGAAAGAAATTTCTGTAATGCTGCGCGAAAAAAAATTGCGAATTTTCAGCAGAAAAGAGAAGAAAAGAGGCCCTAGAAACGAAAAAGTGGATAAATCAAGTTTCTAAATTTAGAAAGAAAAGCCTCCATCACGTAGTGTTGCCAGAATCCATGTTTCGTGGGTCCTAGATACCGAAAACTCAAATTACGGTAAAATGTCTGTCCGTCCGTCTGTCTGTCCATCCGTGAACAACGCTAGCAGCTAAACCGTTCAGTCTCTTTTCTCCAAAATTGATATCTCTAATCGATCTGGCAGATGACGCGACCCCTTTAATTTGAAACCCATATTTTAATTCTAGGGGTACTTTACATGAAGCCACTGGGCCATTTTTCGTATTTTCAAAAAATGGCTACATTGATTTTGATTAAATTTTATTGTTGGATAATGTGAAGGACAATAAGCGAGGCCGCCGGGGGGGGGGGGTTGGGCGTGGGTGTGAACCCAATAGACTACGGACAGCCTGAGAGCGCCAGTGAACGTCGAACCGCTACCAACGCCGCTCCAAGAGTCGCGCGGGCGACCAGGTAGAAGAGAGCCGGGCAAAGGACAGAAAAGAGTGCCGGAAGTCCCTTCCAAGAAAGACGGGGCATTACCTGGAAAAGGGCCGGCGCCTTTCTATAGTGGCTGAAAGGTTTATGTTAAAGTAGCGTTGGCCACTATGTTTCACTCTGTACTACACGGTAGTATTCTCGCGCCTTCAGCCTCCCATATGTCAGAGCAGCCAATTACACTGCGGAAACGAGGGGAGGTAATGTTATGAGCATGATTCATATGAGGTACGAATATGTTAAAAATGGAATAAGCATATTCGTGCAATAATATTGAATAATCTTGGAAGGAGAAATTCCTCTTGATTTGCTTAAAAATACTTTGCTCCATCACTTATTCTGTAATCCTGTTTACTGTGACAAGCAACCGGCAGTTATCTCCCATTATTGCAGGTTCCTTATACTCTCGGTATCTTCTCCATAGTAACAATATCGTGATAAAACTGTTCACCGTGTTAATCATTAATATTACCCAAATTCTGTCGGAAAAATTAAGAAAATGAATTTTCAGACATTCTACACCTCATAGTAGCTTTCTAACCATTCTGTAATCAATGTTTTATGTCTTCTTTCTTTGCCCCGAAAAATGCATGCACAACTCTCTTAAAAGATTGCCGAGCTAACTCCATGTCTGGCAATTTTTCTTCCAAGCTTTCATACAACGAGGGTTTTATAATGAGGGTGCACGTGACTTAGTTTCAAAATAGGTGAAGACCTACTAAGACCAAGGCCACTAAGACACACTCGTAATTGAGACCAGACGCGAAAAATAAAAAACAAAATCTTCGAATACAGAAGGTAAAAAACAACAACACGAAAGCCTAATTTTGTTGATCTCTCATAAAAGTAGCATAGATGAACTGAAAAAATATTTTATTTTTAAATAGAATTCATCAGTATTGGTTCTACACATCTTACACATGCAATTTAAATGAACTTGCATTAACAGTCAAATACAGTATAAAGAAATGGTACATTTAAAAACTGTGATGTGATATGACGTTTTTATTGCAATACTCTTAATCTACATATAAAATTGAGTACGTTGCTCCTTCCTGGAGGTAAAAATCGGGACCCCCCCATGGCCCTCGCTCGGTCACCGTCACTCTCGCATCAGAGAGGCTGGAGGAGGTCACGTGATCAACAAAGCAAGGGAGCAGGATGCAGGAAGATGGGAGTTCGTTTTGAGTGTGCCTCGCGTACGGACGGGTCTGACCATCCGGAAGGCGGCTGTGTATTGCTCGGGGCACTGCGGTGCCTAGCACTGGGGTCGGGGCACCGGCGCAGTAGAGCGTCTGGGTGGAGGAATGCACTAACCTAAGGGATGGGGAGCAGTGTGTGTGGGTGTCACGGAGAAAGATTGCGATCGTAACGCCAGAACAGTACATAGTGCACATCTTGTAAATAAACAGATTTGAAAATAGAGCACGGGTTTAAGTAGTCATTTCACTAGCACGCTTAACACTTATGCACCTGTTTTGTCAAATATTGTTAGGAAAAAGAATCCTTCCGTGTAATAAAAACTATTTCCAACAGCAAATTAGCTATATGCGTTCGTAAGCTTCCGCGGCCGGAGTCAATACATTCTTGGCTATCAGGGATGAGCCGCGTCTCTGTCAGTTGTGCTGACGTTTCGGCGATCTTGTTGTGGCCTTCTTCAGAGCTATACTGAATAGTATATAGCTCCAGTATAGCTCTGAAGAAGGAAACAGCAAGATGGTCGAAACGTCAGCACAACTGACCGAGGCGCGGCTCATCCCGGATAGCCAAGAATGTATTGACTCCGGCCGCGGAAGTCTACGAACGCATATAGCTAATTTGCCGTTGGAAATAGTTTTTATTACAAGGAAGGATTTTTTTCTTACCAATATTTGACAAAACACGTGCATAAGTGTTAAGACAAAGATGTCAGAAGTCAAGAAACCGTGCAGAGATTACACTTCTCCCGATAGTAAGCCACAGTTTTTAACAGTGTTATACTTTAAAAAATACACATAACGTGAAAAATGAGTCTGCAAAGCAGAGTGGAAAGTAACTGTAGGATTATTTTTTGGCATTAAATATTTTGCTAGTGCAGATCTTTGGTTCCCAGTTCACGAAGAAACAAGCCAGTACTGCAGGGGCGGGTAGGAACATGGAGGCGGGCAAGGCAATAAGACGAAGCGTCAGGCAGACCAGCGACGAGAGCCACAAAGCGAAGCTTCGATAAGCGGAGGTTGTCCATGTTGCATCGGATATGAAGTTAACAGATTTGTATGAATGCTTGTCACTTTCCGAAGATGTCATTAAAATCAGAAGAGAGCTCTCGTTTCTCAAAACTTGAGAACATTGGAGATTAAATTTCGTAAATTTGTTTAGAATTCAGTAGTTACTGTTGGAGTAACTACACATTTACATTTACATTTACATTACAATGGATGTGATAAATAAAAGATCAATTCTATTATGTTACAAACGTAGTAAGTTTTATATAAATTTCCCACGGACACGATTTCTACATTTGGGGAAATATACTAGCAGATATGTCAGTGTAGGTCCACTTACCTTTGCAACAACAGTTGTTTGACAGTAAAATCAAACCACAAAAGACGTTTCTAATCAGAATTTGATGTTATCTCATTTTTATAACTCATTGTTATTGTTCTAAATATAGCCAAACTCACAATGAAAACGTATCTTCAAATATTCTATATACTAATTCTATTAAAGTAAATTTCCGATACAAACTCATCCACGTTCAATTAAATAAGGACATTCAGTTATTTGAATGCTTATTGAGTGTTATGTTATAATTGAACTGTGATAGGGATCGAATAAAGCGTTTGGAATAAAATCGGTTC